GCAGCTCGGTGCCCTCCTCTGCCAGCTTCAGCCCGACCGAACAGAAGACCCACCTGGAGGACCTGTACTGGATGGCGAGCACCTACCAGCAGATGAACCCGGAGGCGCTCAACCTGACGCCCGAGGACGCGGTGGAGGCGCTCATCGGCTCGCACCCTGTGCCACAGCCCTTGCAGAGTTTCGACGGCTTCCGCGGTGCGCACCACCACCATCATCACCACCACCCACACCCACATCATGGGTACCCGGGCGCCGGCGTGACCCACGAAGAGCTGGGCCCACACGCTCACCAGCACCATCACCACCATCACCCCGCTTCTCCGACGACCAGCTCGTGTCCATGTCCGTGCGCGAGCTGAACCGCCATCTGCGGGGCTTCACCAAGGACGAGGTGATCCGCCTGAAACAGAAGCGGCGGACCCTGAAGAACCGGGGCTACGCCCAGTCGTGCAGGTATAAACGCGTCCAGCAGAAACACCACCTGGAGAATGAGAAGACGCAGCTCATTCAGCAGGTGGAGCAGCTTAAGCAGGAGGTGTCCCGGCTGGCCCGCGAAAGAGACGCCTACAAGGTCAAGTGCGAGAAACTCGCCAACTCCGGCTTCAGGGAGGCGGGCTCCACCAGCGACAGCCCCTCCTCTCCCGAGTTCTTTCTGTGAGTCGTGGCCATCCCGGCCCCTGTCCTTGCCCGGCCCGGACTCCCCGTCCCCAGTTCCCAGCCCCAGACTCCCCTGGACCCTGTCCCTGCCACAGCCACAGCCTTGACCTGTTTGACTTGAGGGAGAGGGAGGAAGGGCGCGCGGGACGCGAGCGACGGGAGGGCGCGCGGGCAGGCAGGGGACCTTGGCCAAGGCGAGAACAGCGCGCGCCAGCGCTGCCTCCTAGACTGGAGCAGAGCCAGAGAGAGACGAGGGGGTGGGGAGTCCCGGAGCAACTTTTCTTCAGGCTGGAGGGCTACGAGGCATAGTCCTGAGGAGTCGCCACGGGCCGTCAGGAGACTCCTGGCTTTCTGAACTTTGTGCGTTAAGCCGGGGCCGCTACCTCACGGCCAGGAAGAGAGCAGCGAGGAGAGAGGGACCCTGGCTTCCTGGCAGGCGCGAGGCGAGGAAGGAAAGACAGACGGACCTGTCTGCCCAGGGTCCGGAGAACACTGGCTCTCAGCCCCGAGACGCGGGCCTCAGTTAGAACATTCTGCGCGCAAAGATCATCAGTTTTATTGCCTGCTCGATTATATAGAAAAATACGAAAATCTGCATTAAAAATATTAATCCTGCATGCTGGACATGTATGGTAATAATTTCTATTTTGTACCATTTTCTTGTTTAACTTTAGCATGTTGTTGATCATGGATCATAACCCCTTGTTTCTTTGAGTGAGAAGGGAACGCAGTTTGGAAACTCCGGTGGCTGCTTGCCGGGTGTCAGTCCCGGCTGTCGGCTTGTAAATACCCGCCTGCCAAACCGCTTAGAGAACGTGGCAGCAAAGTGAGTGTCGTCTTTGTTTGGGTTTATTATTATGGCATTTTTTTTGTAAGTAAAAAAAAAGTTGTGGGCATTGTGCATCAGAAAACAACTTTGTCTTGGGCACTTTTGAAAGTTGCTTGTTTTCTCCGCTCCCCTGCCCGCACTGGGTCCTCTTTTCCCTTCCGCTTTAGTTTTCCATTTTGTTGGTTTTGAGAGAAAGAGGACTGGGGTCCCAGAACCCCAGGACCAGGACAGGGCAGCTGCAGAGTTTCAAACCCCAACGGCTCCAAGTGGTAGGTCCTTGCTTCCACTTTGTATTTTATGGCTAAACGGACACCCCTAACATGAAGGAAAGGAAAACATCGTGTTTGCTTTTTTAATTGCAATCAGAATCACCCTGGGGTCCCTTCACAACCCTCCAGGCCGCTACTAATTGCTGGAGCCGCTGCGCCCCTAGGGAGACTGGCTTCACCAGCTGGACACTGCCCAATGGTGACCTGAACTTGTGTTAAACCAGCGTCCACACTCAGAAAGTACTGGAAACCCAAACACTGGCAAGTAATTTTGCAACTTTCACACGTTATGTGTGTTTCTTTCCCTGCTTTTGCGCTATCAGGCAGAGTTATTGGTGGTGTTCCCCCCACCCCCTTCAGTTGTATAGTAGTTATAGGGAAGATCTGGGTGTTTTTCTTTATTATTACATTTTTTCCTGCAGGTCAGTAAAAGGATTTAAGTTGCACTGACAAAAATACCAAAACGAAAGTGTATTTTTTAGTTCCCATTTGAAATTGCTGGCGCTGCTGGCCGGATGCATTTTTGAGTTTGTATTAGTTGATAAATTAACAGTAATAACAAGATTGTATGAACCGCATGGTGCTTGCAGTTTTAAATATTGTGGATATTCGTCCTGCATCAGAAACGAGCTTTAGTTTTTACAGATTCAACTGTGTTGAAATCAAATTTGCCGCAACAGAAATTGTTTTTATTTCATGTAAAATAAGGGATCAATTTCAAACCCTGCTTATGATATGAAAATATTAAAACCTAGTCTATTGTAGTTTTATTCAGACTGGTTTCTGTTTTTTGGTTATTAAAATGGTTTCCTATTTTGCTTATTAAAAGCATGGAAATGGTGTTTATTTAGAGGACTCCTGTTTGCCTGACTTTGACTTTCTTCTCTTGCCTCTTCAAGCATCGCACCAGCTTCGGAGGCACTCTCAATGCCCCTGGCCAATGGAGAAACAGACCAAGTGCAGGCAAATCTCTCCCTGGAGTGTATGTGTATGCGTGTGTGTATATGTGTGTGTATGTGTGTGTGTGTGTGTGTGTGTGTGTGCGCGCACACACACGCATGGGCTTCAAACATGTTTTCTGCTTCTCACTCTAGGTATAGACCTGACCCCAATCAGGAGCCGATTTGTGAGCAGAAGGGGGCATAAGGCACTTTTTCGAGGCTTTCAGGCTTGGGCATTGGGCCAGCCTGCTAGCCTGCCCACTCTGAAGTAGAGGTTAGCAGAGCCCAGGACTCTGGGGGCTGCCACCCTGATGGGGAAGCAGGGTCCCTCTGGCAATAGGGCTCAGTCTAGCCCTGCCACTCTGGCCGTCCTGCCTGAGCTGAAGGTTCTCAGCTCTGTCCTGCCCAGTGCATCGCTCTGGGACCAGCTGCTAGGGTACCCAGAGCTAGAGTGCCTCGTTCAGAGAGGAGGCCTTATGGAGCAGGTGGAATCCAGCACCAGGTGGAAGACCCTTCAGACAGGAAGTCCTTCTGTGCCCAGGATGCACCTGTGAGTCAGGCCTTGAGCCCTCAGCCTCACAGAAGAGCATGCATGGCCGGATCAGGACTTCAGAGACTCCCCAAAGCCGGCTTCAGAGGGGGTTTGGAGCATCATTCTGGTGCAGCAGCTCCAACAGCTCCAACCTCAGCCTGGCAGTCCCAGAACCTTTCCTTTTCCAGATTCTTAGAAGAACAGTGCCTGCCTAGGTAGCCCCCAACCCCCCTCTCAGCCTCTTGGCAACCCCATTTATAACTCAGGGTTGGCCTTAAACACCTCTGAGAGTCCCAGTAGGACCCCCCCCCCAAACCTGAGAAGAGTCCTCTGACTCTTTGGCAATGGCTGATGCTGAGGGACCTCTGGTCTCTTTGGACCCAGTGTCTGCAGTCTGGGAGACTCAGCCTTCCAGCCCTGCAGCTCTCTGGCCTGGAGTTTCTAATGTGGTTTCAGGATCGGAGGGGAAAGTGCAGAGACCCAGGCAGCAGTGCCCCAGCCGGGAGCAAAAGCTGCAAAGAGCCTTGGAAGTGGAAGGGGAGAAGAGGTTTTGACCGAGGTTCCTGGAGGCCTGGGGGTGGTGGTGGCCGGGTCTGGAAAAGGGTGGGGGGTTCCCAAAAAGTTAGGATGCAAATAATATCAGCAGTAATTTACATGTATATGGCTCATTGGAATTGTTTAGTAGGAGAGAAGTCAGAGATTCCAGTTTGAGTTAAATTCCAAGTTTATTTCACCAACCCAAAGAGGTCTGTGGAGGGAAGAAGGTGCTGGCTGTGATCTGGTCGGGAAGGAGGCTGAGTCTGGCTGAGGGTACCTGCTGCTTGCCTGCGGAGGAAGGAGCAAGGGGGTCTGATTAGTTGGTAACTGCTGTGCCAGTGCACATGCACACATCTTGGTGAGAGTATGCTCACATGTCCAAGCGTCCCCCCTTTGGGGCGAAAGAGGTCTTTCCAGGGGAGCGCTGGGAGAAACCCCGCTGCTGCGAGGCTCCGGAGACCCAGGTGATGACCAACTCCCAGTGGTGGGGGCTTGACTCACCCTGGAATCATCTCAAGGGGACTGGCTTCCTCTACCTCTAGAGTCACTTGGGCTCTGTGAGAAAGGCCTCTGGTTGGGGAGGGTCGCAGACGCCAAAGCGCGGGTTTTCCTTTCTCGGAGCACAGAGACCCAGACTGACCCAGTGACAGACATCATGACGCTGCAGCCAGAGGACGTGGGGGCTCAGGCCGGTTGGGAGTGACCAGTTGCGACTCTGAGAAGCTGACAGTCAATCCCACAACATAGCCCCGGTGACACACTGACACACAGATACGAAAACATGCACACCTTGCACCCACAGCGATGCCCTCTCAGGTACTGCTAGTCCCTTCACCAAGCCACCATTTGAGCACCAACCGGCCGCGGTACTGGCAGGCGAGAGGCAGGCGGTGAAGGCAGTGCCCAGGAGGAGGCTGAACCCTCCAAAGCCTCTAGGGCGGCTCCAGCAGCAGGCAAGCCCTGGCCACGTCTAGGCCCGCAGCCTGCCATCCAGCCGCGCGGAAGACCGAAGACCAGATACCCATAAGCTCAGGACAAAGCGAACAGCGTCCACAGAACCCCAGGCTCGTCCCACCCCGGTGGTGCCCGGCAGCCCGGTGCTCCCGGTCGGTTCCGCTGCTCCCCTCGGCTCGCGGCCTCCTTGCAATCCTCCAGGACCCCAGGGAAAATCTCCCTGCACCGGAGTCTGCCAGGCTAGCACTGGTCCCACGTAGACAGGCTGGCGCCTGCACTTGGGGACGCGCACGCAGAGACAGACACTCACAGACACCGGGACGCACGCAGGCCAGAGACCATGGCTGCTCTCCAGGCTGCACCGGGGCGGCCCTGGTCCTTTTGGATGAGAAGGCCACTTCCTGCGACCCCAGCCTCTTGCGGGTGTGCAGGAAGCTGTGCGGGCCGGATGGGCTGGCTGCGCCACCCTCAGAGGGGCGGGTTGGGATGGCGCTGGGCACAGCTTCCAGGAGCCCGGGGTCCTCGCCCTTGCGGAGGGGCGGAGTGGGGGGAGGCATCAGCTCCCTTCTTTTCTCCTGGAGTCCTTACTTTGCCAGCTCCCTTTCCTTCGTGAACTCTTCATTTCAGAAAACTGCTTCCCTCAGTTTTCCTCTCCCCTCCCCCGTCCTTTGCCTTTTATCCCGGCGCTGCCTCGCCGGAAAGGCTGTGGGAGGGGTTCTGAGGTGGCTGGCAGGTGTGGGGTGCAGTGAAGGGAGGAAGATGAGGGTCTGGTGCTCCCGGAACCACTGCCAGCTCCGGCGCCGGCGCCCAGCGGCTGGTCCGGCTATCCAGCCTTTCCCTCCATCCTTCGCTAGCGTGCCTGTGGCAGGGCTGGCTGGGGATTGACGGGAGTGAGGTCCCTGCTGCCAGAGAGGGGGCAAATCCCGGTTCTCTGAAAAGGGCCCTCGGGGAAGCTGGGGATGGGTCCTGGACCCAGATCCCTCTGTCACTCGCTCACAGCCAGCCTTTCTTCAGCCCAGGGTTGCTGGGCATTTCTGTGGCAGGACCACCACTCTCCTTGTCAGAGGTGCCCACCACCCTGCACCGGGGCGCTGCGCCTGTCCCGGGCCGCCTCCAATCAGCCTCATGGTGGGAGCTGCCAGGAACCACACCAGCTACAGCGGGACCCTCTTCTGACTCCTGTGACGGAGAGCTACAGATTCCGCCATGCCTGGCACCCCCCTACTCCCTCAGCTACCCACCCTAAGCCTCAAGTTCTTTCTCTCCAGAGGCCTGGAAACAGCTGGGTTTACAGATTCCGCTTGTTCTCTCGCGGGCTTTCAGATGCAAAATCCACTTCTGAGCCCTTTCGTTTTCAGAAAGAAAACCCCTGAACTGCTTTCTTGCACAACCCTTCGCTCCACAGCCTGCTGTCTGGTGGCCTGGCCTCCCATCCCAGAGATAGTAGTATTTGGATTTGTTGTGTAAGGAAGGGAGGATTGGAGGTTTGCTTTGTCTCTCCTCCCCCCACCCCAAAATAAAAGTCCCCAAATGGCAAGTCTTGTAGGCATGGTCTTTTTCAACAGCCGCCCTCCTAAAAGAAGTCAGTCATATAGAAGAGCTGCTCCCAACACAGGAGTCTCGGGAGACATGCCAACTTCCAGTGGGAGAGCCCCATGAAGTTGGGAGTGACCAACTGCGACTCTGAGAAGCTGTTACACACATGCTGTAACACACATCTCTGTGCAGGGGGTACCTGGTTCTCAGAAGCAGCCACCATGAGGCTTCCCAGGGTGGCGCCTACCTGGCTCAGAGGACAGGCTTCTGTGGGAGAAGGCAGCTGTCGCCCTATGCTGCAATTTCATCCTTTCGATATAGTTCCTCCCCCTGCAAGCAGGTGTCTAGACCACAGAGAGCACAGCCTTCTGCCTGGGAGCACGTTCTCCGACTCTGCACAGCTTCACCACGTGCTACACGCATTTCCATGCCTTACACGTCTTCTTAATATCTCATTACCCTTCTCCATTGTCCTACACATATTATCTTAAAAGACACATTTAGATAAGAAAATCAGAGCTAACTGTTCTCACTTGGAAGAACTTAAATATATGAGGTAAGTTGCCACTCCAATTTGGAAAACCACCTAAATTATTAATAAGGATTTGTTCCGAAGCAACTCAGTTCTAGCTGCCGCTCTGCATTCTTTGCATGTGAAGTGACTTTCATGTAAAACAGCAGCCGCTCATTACACATTCCTTTTTACTTGTATCAAAAAGGGATGATGTCCTCGGGCCCGGGGGTTGGGGGGGGGGGCAGCCACAGAGGCAGTGGGAGGAGGCCGGTACTTTCTGGAAGAAGCCAGTTGCAGTGTGAGCAAGGAGCTGAGGTCCACAAATCCAATATTTATATTGTTGTGTGTTCCTTTTGGAGCTGTGCATTTGATCAGGGCTTGCATTTTTTTCTCAGAAATGGACAGTGGAGTGGGCAGCTAGAGGCTGCCCATTTCAGAGCTGGGGAGGGTGAGATAGGCCTTAAGTGTGGCCTGTGATGCCATCTGAAATCAGGAGCCCAGGCTGCCTTGAGCTCACTCACATTCCCCTGGTTTCTTCTGATTTGTCACTTTCACTGCCTTGACCCTGTAGGGTTACATGCACCTGTGTCCTTCTGAGGAGCGGCCATGGGCTGGGACTGGCCTGGGGACTCAGCTCTGCCTGTCCTGAGTGGGCAGCAAAGGGCTGCACTTCCCAGCACAGGGCTCCGCATCGCCCTCCTTTGTGTCCTGGAGCCTGAGCCCGAGCTCGGTACGTGTCCTTTTCCACGGACAAGG